TTCATCAACAAACTAAAGAAGAAAGTAAGTAAAATCTCTGGTTCGAGTGTTTTCGATAATCCGCTAGCTTCTCATTCAAAAGCCCATTGATTCTCCTTACGAATCTCTTCTTCTTCCTCTGGTGTAAAATCATTCACGATGTTGAACTTCTCACGAATCTCGTCCGGTGTTTTGCAAGCAGAGATCCTATCAGCAACAAATTGGCAAGCGAGATCAAGCAATCCCTTAACGTTCAAGTAATTCGCAGCAAGAATAAGTTCGTAGATCGTAGACAGATCCATCTCCATGAACTCTGCATCCCACTTCTTCAAATCTTCTTTAGCCTCATCGGAATCAGATTCACCAGCAGCGACGTGTTTCTTGCAATACTCGATCACTTTAGAGAGGATTTTGCTCGTAAAGTTGGCGAGTGGGATTTCGTTATTGGCGCAATCGTCTTCAACAAGATGAGAAATCGTCTCCGATTGAACTGCGATTGTTTCGTCGATCTGGAAAATTTCACCATCGGAGCTCTTCAACACGATCATCTTCTTCGACATTGTTCGTGGAGGAGGTTTTCTCTGGAAGCGAATCGATGAAATTTGATTAGTGAGGGTTATGGAGTTTACTAATAATCTATGCCTCTGTGTATTTATAATCGAAATTTCCAGTGGAGTAAACCAAGCTAAACCGGATCCAAGCTTACAAAAGGCCCATAAACTTGAGCAGATCTGGGATCTACGTGGCAAAAAGAACGGCTCCGATACAATACAGTTGTAACAGATTTTTTTTTTTTTGTAGCCAAAACAGACTTCAATGGAGAGAATAACTAACAAAAACAGAAGAATCTGAACTGATCACGTGACTTCAATTGGCTTTCGCGTGACGTGGCGTCTTTGATGTGAGAAATCAAATTCTATAACCAAAAAAATAAGAAAAGAGAAGTTGACAAAAGAACAAGAAAAGAAGAAAGATTCGGTTTTCTATTTATTTCTTACAACAGCTGTGTGTTAGGATTTAAAGAATATTCAAGTAAAATGAAGAGTATTCAAGTTTGAAAGAGAAGATGCTTTTATACATTTCACAACAAGCAATCTTTTTCTATAGAGAAATTTGGTTTTAGCTGGTTCCGTATTCAAGTAATTCCCAACTGAATGGCTGAAACAAATAGAGCACTTCAGGGCAACTCTTGAATAAAAGCGCGACGCAAGCGCAAACCGTTGCAATCGCTATCATCATCGAAAGCATTGCTGGTCTATAAGCAACAGATTTGTGTTGCTTTGTAATCACAAACGGGCGTTTGTGAACGCAGAGCTTACATTGTTCGATCCGAGTGATCTCCAAACTCTTTTCTTGTTTCTGATCAATGTTGAAAGATTCAGGAATGTTGATAACCACGTGCTGTTGTTCTTCGGCGATTGGTTTTCGATTGAGTTTTCGTTGCACGAGGTGAATATACGAGAAGTGCCCGCGTAGACGTGCGTACTCCTCAGGTGTGAATCCGGTATTGTCCCGGGAGTTCTTCCAGGCGTGAATACCAATCTGACAACAAAAGAGAAGATTTTGTTAGC